TCATAAATGAAATGAAGACACAAAAGTAAACAAATAATGAAAATATAAAGGAGTTGTCATAGACATAGACATGTAGGATGGACAATAAGGCTTGGGACAAACATAAGCATAAGAAAGGCACATGGTGGTAAATGGTCCTCCTCTTGAAGGACATCCCTCATACAGACCTGTACTAACTGTTGTACTCTAAGGATATGGCTAATAAAAAGTCGTCCCTACTTATCTCTTTGTATGTGGTCATTTGGCATTTGCCTTGTTTGTGGCACATTCTGAATATAAACGTTTTTTTCGCATTCTTGCCTAACTATTTAGTAAACTGTCAAGAATTTTGTCCAGACGTGACTTTTTTTTTTTTTTCCCCCTTCTCCCACAAAGGGTCAAGAACCATTAAAACTCAATTTTGGCTTGCCAGCTTCAACACGTTTCTTTAATACATACATACACATATATGTGTGTGTGTGTGTGTGTGTGAAAGTGGATAGAGTTAATTTCCTATAAGTATTTATTGGTAAATTAATGTTGAAATTACTTGTTCCATGGCTAGCAAGAAGCGATTCCATTTGAAAGGGGTATCTGAGAAGTGGCATGATTTCTTTGCTGCTTCTAAAATGAGAAAGTTGAGAAAAGAAAAGTTGGGTTTATAAGAACAGGTTGGGAAAAATTAGAAATTAAGACGTTAAAAGCATTCCATTTTTAGCATTAATTAATCTTCCATGAAATGAGTGGGTAATCTCATAAAATTTCCATGTTTTTCCACAGTTGAGGATGATGGGAATTCAAGAACCTTCCTTTGGAGGAAAACAAATTGGATTTGATCAAACCTTGAGTGTGGGAAAATTGGGCATAACCTTAAATGGCAAACAATGAGTATGAAAAATTAGTTTCCAGAACTACAAGCTACGTAATGCACCCTCTCACTCCCACTGCCTTAATTTGGAAAACTCTGTTTTGATTTGAGAAAACTGTGAGGAGTGGTTAATTAGCAACAAACAAATCATAAACATGAAGGTTTATGAGAGTAATAATGTTAGGAGGTAGAGGCAAGAGGGTTGAATATAGGGCATACGGGTTAACATAAAATGTTTTTAGCCTATTAAAGGATGTAATAAAAGGCATTGGTTGGGCCACAACAGCCAGAGGTGAGGTGAGTAGCGAGTGCCCCTAATTTCAAAATCTCAACAAACCCACTCTCCCAACTTTCCAAAACAGGAAACCCTTCACTTCACTTCACTTAACTTGGGATACTCACATTGTTACTATTATTATTGTTATTATTATTATTATCTAGGGATTGTGTTCAATGGGAATACGGCCTTCCCTGCTCTGCCTCCCTCTAAAACCAATAATACACTTCAAATTTAATTAACACTTGGAAGAAAGAAATAATGTTGGTACTATTCATGTAGTTATGCGCACATGCACACATATCCATCATGTCTGAAAGATGGATTGAAAAAGACAATTTTGAAAGTTATGAGGCAGTTAAAAGTGTTTATTAGGCCGTAATATTTACAGAGGGAGGGGGTTAGAAAAGAGGGTTATAAATGAATTCAGAAGTTGAAAAGGACTTATGATATGAGGCATTAAAGAAAATAACATGAGACATTAGAATGGGAAAGAAAGAGTTGTTCTTCTTCTTCTTTCTTTGTGGTCCAATCCAAACCCTAATTGATATGAATAAGATGACACCCATTCACTTTTATCACATCATCATTTCATAGTTCTCTTCACAAAATCTATTGTTTTTATTGTTTTATTGCACAAACTTAAGGATTCACTCTATCCCCTCTTGCTTCATCTTTCTAAATTTTATAACCCTAAACCATTTGCAGAGGTGAGAGATAGAGAGAAAGGGAGGAAAAAGAGCAGAGTGAATTATAGGGGAGAGGATGGGGAAGCGGAAGGCGCATGAAATGCCATAAATGGAAATCTGCGGAAGCCTTCCGTCTCACAAAAAGGAAACCATTTGTGTGTGAACCGTGAAAGCGATGTAACGCACTCAATGCCAATGCCAATGCCAATGCCATCCCTTTTCTACACTCTAATTAATGCAATTTCACAAACCCTTTTCTATTCCCCCACCTAATCGAATCAGATCAGATCAACTCTAATATAATATATAGATTCCAATATTTCCCCAATGGGGATTGTGTTTGTGTTTCAGATATATATATATATATATATATATATATATATATATATATATATATACACACACACACATAGATGCAGGCATTTGCTACGTTACCCGGTGCTCTACCGCTGTGTGGGACAATAATTCAAGGGCGCGGCGCTAAAACCTTCCTCTAATCATTCATACTCCCAGGGTTTTTGCAGAGGAAGTGGCGTGTGGTGTGCATACCCGTTGAATGAAAGACGCGTGGAATCTGGTACCCTTCTAATTTCATTATCTCAAATCCATTGGTTGACTAAATTAGAATGGCAGCATGGATTAAAATAATGAGTGATGACGGTCCGAGTGACGAAATTTGCAACCAATATTATATTGATTGGAATCGTTTATCTTTTAATTAAAAAAAGAACTAAACTTGACCAATGTTTGTTGGGTGGTGATTAAATACGAGTATATTGCCTTTCTGGAGATCATAAACCCAGTCATTTCAATACCAAAACTAATAATACAAGGGAAGTCGATAGTGAGTATTTATGAAATTTTTGAGCTGTGAAGGCAGGAAGGAAAACAGAGTGCATGAAAGGAAAGGGGATCGGGGGTTTGGGGTTTAGGGATGAAAGGAACCCGTGGTGGTCATAATAGCAGTGTCTGACTGCTTTTGGCTGAGGGAGAATTGATTCAAAGGACACTATGATGCCGACTATTCATATCCCCCATTCACTCACATTTTTCTCTTTGCTTTTTCCTTTTTTCCTGTCTCCCCCTCTCCGCCCCGCCCTGGACGGAATCTCTCCCAATAACAAGAAAATGACAATCGTCGGAAAATGATCATTCAATTTGATGAGGCTACAACAAGAAGGCCCCCTTCCTTGCCGCTTCTTTCAAACAAATATGTACAAATTACTAAAAATGAGCGTTGGAACATAGGGTAAATATATAGTAGTACATAGCCGAAACAAAGCAAATGTCTAAGGAATTGGGAATTGGTAATGGCACAATGAATGCTCGGTCAGAAAAGTTGTAGCTTTTTTTTCCCACCCATTACCACCACCTTCAACTTTTACTACTACGCTTTTTTCTTTCTAGATTCTCGTCGGGAAGCGGACAGGACAGAATAAATTAAAATTAAAACATGACTGACTCTTTTTTCTGGGTGCGGGGGAGAGAAATTTTGTAGAACTTATTAGGAGGGTCTAATGAGACAATGAAACCCATTCTTGTGCAGCCAATTCTTAGAAGCTCTAATCTGGGGAGAGAATCCTGATGATGCTGCAGCAGTTGTAAGAACTTGCGATGGCCCCGATTCAACAATTTGATTCTGATGATCACTTAGAGATAGTGATAGATCACTTCCTATTATTCGGCCTCCATTACTGCTGCCCGGAAACTGAATCTTCAACAACAATAACACATCAAAATTTAAAAAACCAACACTTCTTTCTTCTCTAAATTATTAATTACACGTACTTGATAATTGAAGGTTGGATGATTTTGATTGTGAAGCAATATCTGGGAGTGGGGCTGATCTGCACCACCCGCCTGCCGCCTGAACTGCCCATGTCTTTGCATTTCAAAGGAAATTGGAGACTGAATGTGTGTTTGGCTTAGCAGCTGCATAGTTTCACTCTCCAGGTACCTATTAGTATTTCCTCTCTGTGCATTATTGTAATTTTTGTTTCCACTACCTCCTCCGCCGCTTGATTCTTGCAGCAAATTTAGCTGCGCATGATACACATGCCACAAATTCGTGAACACCCATATTTCCCACGAGAAAAAAAAAAAACATTATTTTACGGAAATTTGAAAGAACCTGCGGAGGCCTAAATCCTTGACTACGTTGCCAATCAGCTTCCATCGGTAGAGAAGCTGAAGAAGAATGGTGCGGATCTAAGGAACCATTTGGGCTGTCATTTTGCTTTGAGCTTGAATTTCCCAGACGCAAATCAAGACTGTGGTCCGCTAAATTGGTAGTTGAGTCTGTTATAGTGTGAATTCAAAAAACAAAACAGAAAAAATCATTCATTTCCAACAAGTTAAAACAATAGTCTGCGTGTGTGTGTGTGTGTTTTTTTCTTGTGTTACCAGTTGTCGGATTCAGCTCACTCTCGTAAATGCTGGGATCGAAATTGGTGACAGCTTCTTTGCCATTACACTTGATTGCAGCTTTATCATAAGCCCTATCGTTATCATCATCGGATTAAATTTTTTATTTGTAAAATGAATAAACGACATCAAACGCAACTTCTTTCCTGGTTTCTTGTGTCCAGAGAGATGGAAGGGAAAATAAAAACAGACCTTGCGGCTTCGATCTCGGTATCAAACAAACCCAGATAAACATACCTGTAAAATTGGGGGAAAATAAAAATTGGGTATGGATATAAAGAAGAGATGGAAAAAAGAAGGGAAATGGAGGAAGTGGGGGAATACTTTTTGCCAAGAAATTGGCCCATTCGAGCCTCCCATCTTCCACACTTGTGAAGTGTTACACCTCTATACTTGGAGCTTCCTCTGGGAAACCCAGTGCTTTGTCGGCGAAGAACATGCACAAATTCCTCCTTTGTTAGATTACCCATCTGTTCATCGATCATCACATAACGTTTCAGTTTAATCTTAATATATGTATGTATATGTTATAATTAAGATGGAAAGCCAAAATAAAGGACCTGTTTTAAGTCGTCCTCGTAATCTTCGATGCTGAAGTTTATGTCCGCTTCCACTCCTCGAAATTTAATGGCCGCTCTATCGTAAGCACTGAACAACAACAACAACAACAACAAAATCAGTTCTGGTGGAGAGAGAGAGAGAAGCGCGGAGACAGTGAGTGCTCACCGAGCAGCTGCATGTGCCGTATCGAATCCACCTGTAACCAATTCATTTGATGGGGAGGAGAAAAATCACATCTTTGTTAGAAGGCCAGAAATGAATGATATACCCACCCCCCACCCCTAAAAAAAAAAATTAAAAGTAACCAATAACAAACCAAACATACCGAGATAAACCTGCTTTCCACAATCCCTGATGAGTGCAACAACCAAAAAAGAAAAAAATCAAAATCAAATCAATTCAGTTCAATTGTTTGCACAATTCCAAAAGCAGAAGTTGGTTTTTGGGGGACAGAAATTGCAGTAGAGAGAGAGAGAGAGAGAGAGAGAGAGTAATTTAATTTAATTTAAAAAAAAAAAAAAAAAA